AGATTGATCTCCTCTGCATTAAAGTCTTCAGACAGGAAAGCAGTCCGAGTGAGAACTTCATTCCGTTTGTTTTCTGGAATCTGATCAAATTTGGTTCCTATCAGCAACAAAGGCACTGGGTTCTCAACAAACTGCTCTCTGTCGTAGTCACTGCATCAAGAAACACAAATCAAAAAATTACAACGATTCATCAGTAGCCGTAATTTCGACACCTATAGGTGTTTGGGATTTTGTGCTGAAGAACAAAACATACCCATTTGAGACAATGACTCCTGTTGGAGAGGAATCCTTATTTAAAGCTTCTAGTGACCAGCGGTAGAGGTTCTGAGAGGATTTCTTATTTGTCAAATCATGGACCAATACAATTCCTAGAGAAACAACAAAGTATTTTTAATAACCYATGTATCATACATAAGCTGCCATTTAAAATCTATTTTACCATTAACAGAATTGTAGAAGACCGCTCTTGTGCTTTTGACACTGCTGGCGCTGCCAACAGATCCTCCGACATCCCAAAGTTCAATATAGAAGGTTTTCTCCTCAGGGGTTCCCTCTTTGTAGTCGTGAATCTGTAGTTGGATAAATATGTCAATATCTCAGTCATCATAATCTATTAAATGAATCTGTAACATGTGGCAGACTGTGGATGGTTTGACTAATATAATAGGCAGGTACTAAGCTGTAAATACATGTCTAACAGGAGGACACGGTAACATTCTGTAATAGTGTAATAGCTTAACATATTAGTATATATGCTCACATAAAAAAAGAAACCAAATCATTTTGGAATTTCCATCTTTTTTAGATGTATGGATGCTGTTGGACCTGCTTACCCGTACATCCACAGAACAGCCAACGGTCCAAGAGGGATTTCCTAAAACTTGATTCTGGCATAGCAGATGAACTAAGGAACTCTTGCCCACTCCTGGAAATGACAAAAAATTAGGGGTGTAAGAAAATATCGATACACTGAAATATCGCAATATTTCATTTCCCGATACTGTATCGATATTCTAAAGCCCTGTATTGATTTTTTTTATTAAGTTTTAAAATGTCAACTTTCCTGCCAGGCGTTCATTTTTTTGTTGTAGTTCAGCCTCTGACTGCTAGCCGGCAGCAGTGAGCCAACCATTTGGCTCCTCTACCTCTTGGGGTAGAGGCTATTGTTAAGTGTTAGGTGACCATATTGTAAATGAATATTAAAAACTAAAAGCTGCAAAAAATATATTTTCAAACTATTTATTGTCAAATTTAGTCTAATAATTGAAAACATGGATGAAATATGAAACAAATAAAATAAAACACATACAAAGCAGAACACAGCTAAATGTATCAAAAGTATGTCTATGTAATATTAGAATTTTCTGAGACAATGAATTTTGGTTTTTCTTTTTCCCCAGTAAGAGGTTTTTATTTAATAGAATTTTTGGACAAAAAAAATCGCAATATATCGCCTTGCTTATAGTATCGCAATATATCGGGATATATCATATCGTGACCCCTCTGTCATATGTATCGTATCGCCAAATTCTTGCCAATACACAGCCCTACAAAAACAGTGTTAAAACTAAATTATGTAAACTAATATCTCCTCCTGAGTTCAACAGTTAGTCTGGTAGTTCAGCTTTTTCGTGAGTTTCTGTGTTGCTTTGAAAGGGGTGTGCATAAGACTGACATGACACTGTCATAAACATGACGTAACACCTGTCATTGATATGAAGGAGGCTTCATAAATGTTTATGACTGTTGTCATTAAGTGTCATTCTGTAAATTATGGCACATTTAAGACAAAATTGACATTGTTTAAAATGGCTAGGTTATAACAACTTGTATTAACTAAGACAAAAATTTGACATTGATATGATATGATATGGAAATGTCAAGAGATGCTCTTTATTTTTGTATTTACAGAGTCATGTGATTGTATCACAACATATGATTTCTTGGTTAAAAAAGACAAGAAAGAAAAAATAGATAAATAGTACAAGGAATGGTGACATGTTTTACTAAAAACACAAGGTGATAATTTGTTTAGTAGAACATCCAGTTTACATGGGAAAAATACATGGCACATATTTTCAAATGACTATCTAGCTAATGCTCACTGTAACAAAAACAAATAAGTCTTAAGATTAAGAAATAAACACTCAGATGCAATACTACACAAGCAACAAAATTATTGGCATTTGCACAAACAAAACAAGCTTATTTTAATGATAATCAGTTTGTTTAAATTTAATTCAAACGCCAGTCTAGCAATTGCAGACTAGAGCATTGTTATTTTATTTTTGCTTTGAGGTAAACAACGAATGAAAAATCTAGTATTTGGCTAAGCTTTCAGATCTAAGACAGCACAGGACGATTAGTCTCCGCCTCTTAAAAGAAATTCAAACAGTTTTAAAACAGCAGAAATTGTGACCATGGTAAATATTTTTCTAAAACTTGACAGGTGTCAAATGTGGGGGGAAAAAAGGCGTAACTTACCAGAATCTCCTAAAACTAATATTTTCACCCGGTCAAGCGTAGCCATCTTTGATGATAGAGTGAACCGGAAACACAATGATAAAGCCCGCCCCGAATATCATTTTATGTACTTTGATTGGCTAAAAGTAACATTACGTTTTCAGAACGTGGCCAATGATAATTTATGGTTTCAAATTGTTTCCGCAGTCCTCAAAATAATTTGTTAAGCGCGTTAGCTAAGCTAGTAGCTTCAAGATTCAGAGGTGCGGTGTTGTTTAGTGTTTCAGCTCTGTTTGTATTTGACGAAATGATAAAAAGCATTAGTCTGACATGACATAAGGCGTGTTTTTTGTTATTTTCTCCACTATAACTGTAGAGAAAGAGTAACAGGTAAGACTAATGTTTGTCTGTGCTTAAAAACTTGTGTAAATTTAGTTGCACACACAGTCACACACAGCATGCGATGCACTTGCTTAGAAATTGAAAAGCCTTCTCRGTGTGAAGACTGTTACGTAAAAGCAGGTTTGTTGTTTATGAAACTTTAATACATAATTTGTTTAGAACATTTCAGAAATGCTAGCTTGTCAAAAGCTAGCTTTCGTGTTTCCTTGTCTTGACAACACACCTTGCTCATTCCCACACTTGGCTGTGCCCCAGTGTCGCTCGGTACCGACCACTTTGTTGGGACTTTTTAAATTTGCCTGGGGGTGGGTTCCAGTCCCCCCCAAAAGTATTGGAACAGCAAGTCAAACCCATTTGTTTTTGTTGTGAACTAAATACATTTGGGTTTAAAATCAAGAGATGAGCATGAGACGAGTCCTGCATGCCAGCTTTTATCTCTTGGTATTTACATGTAGAGGTGTTAAACAACTCAGAACATACCACCCTTTGATTGAACCCACTGTTTTGGAACATGTGACTGACAGGTGCTTCTAATTGACCAAGTGTTGCCTTTCAGATTGATTATTCAAACAATAGCTCTGCGTGATTAATCTACTTTTTGACCTGGCCTTAAACCCATTAAGTAGGTTTTTCTAGTTAAAGAGGAGATAAATAAACATGAAGACCAGAGAGCTGTCTATGGGAGAAAAGCAAGACATTTTGAAGCTGAAAAAAAAAAAGAGAAGGAAAACCAATCCGAGCCATTGGACGTAGCAAGCACAAAAGTTTAAAATGTCCTGAAGAAACTACCGGTGTACTGAGCAACAGATATCGAACAGGCCGGCCAAGGAAAACAACAGTCAATGACAGAAATATTGTGACAGCTGTGAAAAAAAAAACCAAAACATCAGTGACATCACTAGTGACCTCTGATCTGCAGGGATGAAGAGATCACAATCCACAGTTTGAAGATGACTAGGGCTGTGTATTGGCAAGAATTTCGCGATACGATACAWTATATAACAGAGGGGTCACGATACGATATATCCCGATATATTGCGATACTGTAAGCAAGGCAATATATTGTGATATATTGCGATATTTTTTAATTCTATTAAATAAAAACTTCTTGCTGAAAAAAAAAGAAAAGCTAATGTTTACTTACAATGCTAATGCTAACCGTACTCTCTGGCGCTCAAGAGGTAGAGGAGCCAAATGGCTGGCTCACTGCTGCCAACTAGTGGCCAGAGGCTGAACTACAACATAAAAATGAATGGTTGGCAAGAAGGTTGACATTTTAAAMCTTAATTAAAAATCAATACAGGGCTTTAGAATATTGATACAGTATCGGGAAATGAAATATCGCRAAATTTCAGTGTATCGATATTTTCGTACACCCCTAAAGATGACTCAGCAGGAGTATACCAAAAATATAACGTTCCTCATTATTTATGTTTTGTTAGTATTGATTAATATTTGAGCATAGCTTCATGTGTGCAAGGATGTTGAACAAATACTTGGTTCCTGAATATTGTGGCCCCTTACGCAGAAAAATTCTAAATCTGCTACTGTGTCCCAGTTAAATCTCCACAGTTTTTGTCAGAGACATTCCTCCGTGCGAAGGAGAGTCGACTCAACGCTGCAAACAAAATGACACAATTTTTCGTCGTGTAATTTCAACAATCCCGTCTAATTTCAGAGATTTGGATGAAACAAACTGGGAGATTAAAACATTTGCACAATACTGAACCTTCTAATTTAATGCTTAAGAAATTATCTCACTTTTCTCTTGAATCATAATTCCTTATCCCCTTTAAACTATTTTAATTTAAACTAAATCATAAGGATGTGGGGATAAAATGTTACACAATACCGCTAATGTTTTGTTTTTCCTGCTTAAGCTTGAACATCTAGAAATATCAAGAGAAAAGTCTACATTTTTAGAACAAACTAAAACTAATAACAAAGCCAAGATGAAAAAATTACACAAATGTCAGATAACAAGAGACAGACTAAAATACATAGAAACCGGGAAGCACAAAAGTATTCTGAATAAGTTTATGTTAGTGGTAAGTGATTTGACTTTTGTTCAAGCCAATATTTTACATGAAAATATATTCTTCTAGCCTCTCATCTCATTTATTTCTTGACCCAGGATGATTGATTTCCAGATTTTTTTCAGAAATCTAATTTCTCTCCATAGTCCCAAGATGATTGAACCAGAGCTCCTAACAGAGGTCCCTGCATCGCTGAAGAGGCTGGCCAAGCAGGTCGTGAGGGGGTTTTACGGTGTAGAACACGCCTTGGCCCTGGATGTGCTGATACGCAACCCATGCGTCCGTGAGGAGGACATGCTGGAGCTGCTCAAGTTTGATCGGAAACAGCTGCGCTCTGTGCTCAACACTCTGAAAGCAGACAAGTTTGTGAAGTGCCGCATGAGAGTCGAGACGGCTCCAGATGGCAAGACAACGCGTCACAACTACTATTTTATTAACTACAGGTTTGTTTGTTTGTTTTTCAACTCTTTATTTTAAATTAAAATTGTTCTCGTGGCTTCAAGGCATAATTTGTATTTATTATTTTTTAAGGGTGTTGGTCAATGTGGTGAAGTATAAACTGGATCACATGCGACGGCGCATTGAGACAGATGAACGAGACTCCACCAGCCGCGCCTCCTTCAGGTGCCCCTGCTGCTTCTCCACCTTCACTGACCTGGAGGCTAATCAGCTTTTTGATCCTATGACTGGTAAACAGGAAAAACAAACCATGTTTGGCTTGTAGCACATTTGGTTCAGAATTGTTACAGTGCACTCAAAGTTAATGTTTACACTAAACACTACCATTTTTTTTAATATTCACGTTTTCTTTCCCAGTAGATCACTATGACATTAAATAATTTCACTAATTTGAAAACATGTTTGCATTGGGTGGGAAATAAGCAGTTTTTTTAAATTAAATTTGACAGTGAAATGCACTAAATTCAAAACTATCTTATATGAAATGTAGATAGCTGTATTAATTATATCTATATTCTGAAGAGATTCCAAGCACATAGCTCAGGAGATGACTTGTTTTGATAAACATTTAGTTATGACTTATTTTTCATCCTCCGAACTGCAGTTTGACTATTTAGTTTGTAAGCAGATCAGTTTGCCTCTAGATGGCAGTGAAAGCACACATTTAAATTGTACCAGGGTGCTCATACCGTATATGGGAAAAATCCAGAAAATGCATTCAATGCTGTTGAGAAAGTCTTATAATTATGCATAAAAAAAATCACAAGGTTATTGATAGACACTTAAATAACATTTTTTTTCATGCCATTTTACATTWATTTAGAGGCAGCTGTGGGTACGTGGTTAAGGGAGTCCTCTAAGGCTAGAGTTGAGATTACCCCGCTATTTGCTCCTTGTGCAAGACACTAAAGGCTGKTTTATACTTCGAGTCGCTTGTCTTGTTCCCACGCTGAGTGACAAACAAATGCGTAACTTCTTGCTGCTATCTCCTGGTGACAGCCGTCGTTCATGGTATTTTGTTTAAAATATTTTTTTTGTCTGAAGCATGTTGTTAAAAGAACTAGAAGAGCAGCTGGTTTGATTCTATTGAACGTGAGCCTGCAGCTGATGTTCACGTCTTTTTTTTGTCATCACCACCGTTAACAAAAAATAAAGTTTTTCCTCTGCAGTCTCTTCAACCCAACATAACACTGATTTTTGAGTGAAAAAACAATATCCTGCCATCATTATTGCTGTTTATTAACTTGTATGAGCTGTGGAAGAAATTCTGATAATTTATGGCCCTCTGCGTCTTCAGCCCCATTTATACTCTGTTAGCAAAAGGACGTCCGAAATGACGCAATGCCCGACCCACTGTCTCACGTCATATTAAAGTATAACTCAAGCTTTAACCTCCACTGCCTCTGATGTGTGTCCCATCAGTGTATGAATGTGATTTAAGCACTGATTAGTCTCCATAGAATGATCTATCTAGATTAGCTCTGTAGAGAGATATCATAGGTGCTGACTGAATGGGTAAATAGGTAGAGAGCTTTGAGGATCCTGGTTGGATAGAAAGGCGCTAGATATATGTACGGTCCATTTACTATTTATTTGCTTATTTCTCTCTTACTACTTTTCAAAATGACCATCATGCATTTTATTAGCAAATAATGGTATAACATAAAATGTAGTTTCATTCCTACAGATTAGAAATAGTAAAAATAGTAATAAAAATCTAAGCTTGAGGACACAATTGCTTGCTGTTCAGATTTGCTGCTCACACACATCTTGCTCTACTCTTTCATTTCCTTGAATCCCCAATATGTGAAAATAAATGAATGTCATTTAGAATTTTTTGACCTCAAGGAATTGTGAAAAGGAATTATTATCTTTCAACATTTAATGGGTTTTATTTCTGCATGCCACTGACACACACCAACGAAGTAGGGGTTGAGAAAGCAGCGGCAGTGTCGAAATATTTTCATCTTTAGCAGAATTCTCAAGGAGACTTACATAAATGAAAACAGTGCTGAAACATTAAGCAAAGTGTACAGAAGTCACTATTCTTGGCACAAAAGGGTCTGAGAATGTAGTATATCCGATTTAAATGGATTTTTTCTGAAGTAATTGAATTTATAAAACCTCTCTCTACGACTAATTGTATTGATGAGTATATCTTAACAGAGCACATGTTGTTTTTTTAAATAAAAAAGGACTTCTCTTTTTTCTGTGCAGTGGTCAAAGGCCTTACAAAAGCTGCTTGATTACTGCAAAATTAAATACTCTACACTATAAGGGAAAGGTTTATTCAACTGAACGACTACCCATTGTCTTCCGAATCATGCATTTTGAGGCACTTAATAAATACATTTATTTTTCTGTGCTGGAGCTGTTTTTATGAAGCACCATGCTTATATTTCCTACCAGCCTGAAGGTTTTTCTCCAATCACTCTGCAGTATTTGTGCCACAAGCAAAAACCATTTAAACAGTTTTATTGTTTGTATTTAAGGCAAGTTTGTTAGACTGTTTAAAGCATATTGCATAGATGCCACTATTACAGGCGTATAAGTGGAAAAAAGTAAGGAAATAGTTTAATTTGTGCATGAAAAACAAGCTGCACACTGCCTATGCCTTGTGTGTAGAGTTAAATGCATGCTGTAGTTTTATTGTAGAAATTACAAATATAATTTAGTTTGCTACTTCCAACATTGCAATATATTCGATAGGTATAGTGTTATGTTGGAATCTTTCCAGCTTCCCTATATATTAACTGACAGAATATTTGTAGGGATAATAAATTATTTTGCCGTTAGTTTCTGCACTGCTTAGGGGCCAGTTGCGGTGCCACCTGACAGAAGCTGTCAGAAATGAGTACCTTGATCTCACATGGTTGTATGATTCTCTGATTGCCTCTGTGGGGCTAACAACACTCAGTGTGATCTCATAAGGATGGGGAAATGACACTGCTGGTGTTCCAGCTCAATGTCAATCCGAAGCACAAAGGAGTACCAGAACCCTGCAGCTCTGAATTTGCACAGTGTGCATCGTAAATGTTGGAACGCAACATGGTTTTTATTTATTTTTTTATTTTTTTTATCATTGTTCCGAAACCTCATTTTTTTGTCACAATTTCCTCTTCAATCATTTTTCTTCTTGTACAATTTCTTTTTATACATTAAAATAATGCAAACTTCAAAATACTGACCACTGGAAAGGCTTGTTTTGACTTAAAAAAACATTAACTGACTGACTCAATTATCATTTATGATTGCATCACTCACGTTTGGCAATGGGTGCTTTTTGTACCCCTCACTGTGTGCCTCAGGCTGAAGTTTATGTTCATCTTCTCGCTCTATTTTTCTCATTATCTTTGAGTGTAGAGATGAAGCAGGCATGAGGTGTGTGCTGAAGTTGGAACAGCTCCCATTATTGAGCCTGAGATCAGGAAGAGAAACAGATGGTCAAACGTGTCCTCGCCTTGCTGTTTGGAAGCAAAGGGTTCTGCACAGTGCAAACAGTCCTGTACTGACCTCACATTTATAATCCAGTGTTTTTAAAATGATTGGCACATAAGAAAGGAATTCAGTTGGGGGAAAAGTAAAAGTCAAATTTAGTAACTTTTATTGTGCATTAATAGGATAATTCCTAAACAAATATTTACCTGCAGTGAGCAATTTTCTCTGAAAAATGCTAACTCGCAGCTCCGCACAAAAATAATAACATACACATTTTCATGCATAAAAGTTGCATAATAATAATAATAACAACAACAACAACTTTATTTGTAAAGTGCCTTCAAACAAAGCGCTGAACAGGAGATAAAATCACAAATAACAAGGTGAATTCACAAAAAAAAAACAAGGATAAAATCACAGAAAACAAGATAAAAACGAAGCAAGAGATAAAAATCACAAAACAGACCAAAACAATTAAAAGATAAAATTAAGACAAGTAAGGTAGTTTGAACAGGTAAAATATAATTTAAAATCCAATTTATTGTTAATATGCTAGCATTTGCTAGTATACTTTGTAGAGAAGTACCTTTTTTACAATTATTTTGCAGCAAATATACTTCATTTTGAGCTTTCAATAACTCTTATTTCTTTCCCCGCAGGTACTTTTCACTGCACGTTCTGCCAGACAGAGGTGGAAGAAGATGCGTCCGTGTGTCCCGATGCCAGGACACTGGTGGCGCGGTTTAACGAGCAAATCGAGCCCATCTACGTTCTCCTGCGCGAGACCGAAGACATTAACTTGTCTCATGACCTGCTGGAGCCTGAGCCTACAGAGATCCCTGCTCTCAAACAGAGGTCAGTTCCTTTCAAGTCTCCCAGCTATGCAACACTCRTCACCTCAGACAGAAAGCATCTTTCGGGTCACATCATGAACTGCGCTCAGGAATGAAATTAGCATCACTTTATAAGCAGCATTAGTGTAAGAAGCTGTTTTATAACAGCTCAGGCCACAATGTAATAGAGTTGTAATCCTAAATGGATTAGATGTTTTTTTTATAGCTGTTTATATAATAGCTTTAAATGGGATATTTTTTTTGTTTTCTCTCTCCTCCAGTCGTGAACGTGCTGCAGCCTCTGGAGCWAATGCTGCGAGCGGACCACATCGTGAAGCCTGGTCTAACAAGGGATCAGCCTACGCTGATTTGTACACTCAGAATGTGGTTATCAGCATGGAGGAGCAGGATGAGCAACATAAACAGGCCAATGAGAGCAAGGCACCTAAGGAACAGCCTGTGTGGTTGACCCAGAGTACGGTRCAGGGTGCTTACAGCGAGCCTGATAACCTCAATAACCGTAAGTAATAACTTTCTTGGGTAACGCTTTCTTTTACCCTTATTACCATGTAATTATGTGGTAATTAAGGTACAATTTTACTATGTAACTAATTGTCTGCAGTAATGTAGCACTTACCTGGTAATGTATTACAATTCACTATGTAACACCTAAATAAGTAGTAGGTAATTTGGACAGTTTTAAAGTTATATTTTATTGCAATTAACCACTAACCCCAACATTTAGTTGCATTCTTTTGGTTATAAATATAGTGTTGAGTTACWATTGAATAGTAATTTGATTGTAGTTACCCAATAAAGGWAAGCAGTAGTTTTTCTTTTGTACCCTAATTACCACGTATTTACTTGGTAATAAGGTAGTAATTAAATTTAATTACCATTTTTATTAMCTTGTAATTACATGGTAATAAGGGTACCGTAAAAGAAAGCRTTACCCTTTCTTGCTATACATTTCCTTCCCAATTCAAATAATTGTTTCAGTGGCATACCTTTTTTATAAATTAAAAAAAAATACATTTTATTAATTTACCTGMTATAACAGAAATTCCTCCTCCCTCCCTCAGGTCAGGGGTTAGGGCTTGATACAGTAGGTTTGTGTAGTTTGAGCAGTTGAGTGTTTTGTCATTTGTTGTTTAATTTGATCGTTTYTAGGCCAGCTGAGTTGAATATATTTTAGTCCTACTTTGTGTTGCACCTTTTTGAA